TGAAATACAACATACAATTTAATCCCAAGCAAAAACTTTACAATCAATTTAATATTAATGATACTTTCAAATTCAGAGGAAAGGGACTGGACTTTTATCAGCAAGTCCATGTAACATGTAAATGCAATAAACATTCAAATGCAACACTTGTAAAATGTGGCAAACACAGCTGTGTTTGTGGTATTGTTAGAACTGCACATGATGAGACTTTTTTAGTACTTACTGTGAAAAGCACAAAGTACTTCTGGTTATTTTCCCCGACACAATTGTTTACCCAAGGGCAATGATGATCCATCTTCCGTATACAGCGCTTACAAACACTAAAATGAGTTTGAAAAGGGGAGTGGAGAAAAGAAAGAGATGAAAAAGTCACCTTAACACTTCAACTGAAAGACAGTAATCAAAACAATGGTTTGAAGATATGGCTTTCAAAAATATGTCCTGGGGTTGGACAAAATAATGTGAACACCCATTATTATAATGGTTAATATAATTTGCATAGGCAACAATGAAAAAACAAATATTGTAATTATCTTTTTGTTGTCTACATTCTCTAGGATGTATATCAGTGTTGTATAAACTGTGTTCAGTACAATCCGTGTGTGAAATGGGTGACTTGTCAAATTTCCAAAAAGGACAAATCATGGGAGCGTGTTTAGCAGGAGCTTCTGTAACCTTAACAGCCCAATTGTTTGGTGTTTTATGCTATTGTTTGGTTTTCCACAGTCTTTATGATTATGACTGCATGCATAAAGCATGACAACACGTCATAACGAAGAGGAATAATGGGAGAAAACCAAAAGTGAATAATAGGGACTGTCAAACACTAAGGAGGATTGTGTCCACACAGCACAACTGCCACAAAATGATAGCAAACCTCAATATTCACCTTGAAGACCCTGTTTCCACAAAACCGACTACAGAGAACTTCACAAAGCCAGCATCCATGCAAGAGCTGCAATCGCTAAAATTTTAATCACAGGCACAAATGCTAAAATATGGTGTCTTGATCATAAAACCTGAACAGTTGGAACGGCAAGACAAACGTCAACATCTACCCTGGCCAGCTCGGTCACCTGACTTTAATACTACCAAACCACTGTGGGCAGTTTTGGAGAGAAGAGGGCCAAGCAGATTCCTTCAACACTTCTGAAACAACTGGCAGATGATGACATTCCACTGGAGACTGTTCAGAAGTTGTATAAATCTGTATTGGAAGCTGTATTAAAGGCAAATGGTGGTAAAAGTCCTTAATAAAGAAATATGGCCGATTTCCCAGGTGTTCACATTATTTTGTCCAACTGCTGTATATTCATCTAAAATGATCTCAATGCAGCAAAAAAGCAGAACAAAAAACATGGATGTTAATATGACCATGATGAATAGTGCTGCTACCGTTACGCATCTATGTCTCCATATGCTCCTCTCTCACCTGCAGTGGTGAGCTCTATCCGGCTTAATACTGCAGCACTTGGGACATTTGTAAACCACCTGGCCAGGCTTCAGCTGCAGGCTCTCGATGTACTCCTTAGTGGCGTTTCCCTTTGGCACGGCTCCCTAAGAAAGCATCAGGCAACTTCAGCATCATTTTAATAGTAGTATGGGAAGCATTTATGACACCCTGCTGAAGATTTAGGGTAGACTAGGGGGAAAAACAACACTACTAACAAGTTTTGATACCTAATGAATTTAAATGAATGTCTATTTTATATCTAAGTTGTTGGTAAATAATTAACATTAATGGTGTTGCTAGAAGCTAATTTACAAGATTTTATCTTGGCTGTGAGCTCAGGGGGCAATTATAACACTAGTTATTGATTACAAATTATATGACTTAACTGAATCTTTAACATGAATAATGTTAATTATTAACATACTATTAAAATACTATGAACTTAAATATATATTATTATTATTATTATTCTTTGTGAAATACATTAAGTTATAGTTTAAATATAGCTCATAAGTGTTATAATTCCCCTCATGAATTAGCAGAATCCCCTTGTAATGGGGGAAATTGTCTCCCATACCCACCAGGCACCCTGAAAGAATGTATTATTTGGGTAAAAAACCCACCGGGTCAGTGCACATGGCTCTGAAATGAGACGCCAGGGCGAGGAAGGCCAGGCTGTTGAAGAGGGTGCCATTCACCAGGCTGTAGGTGAGGCTCTTCGATGGAATCAGCATGACGAACAGCACGACGACCTCGGCAAAGACGACGAGAAGCCAGGTGATGATCGCACAAATGATGCCACAGGCATCTCTGATGAACCACATGTTGTTCTGTCTCTCATGACAGGGAGGAAGACACTGTGTGGGCTGCAGGCCACTGGCCTGCCTCTCAACGTCCCTGAAACGCGGCACTGGACTTCTCATCCTACCACAGAGATGCCATCCTGTCAGTGGCAATGGAAAAAAAGAGACAAAGATGGATAAATCTACCTAATTTCATCACTAAAGTCTGTTTTTTTTTTAGTTCACAAACCACACAAAACAAGATGGTGAGCAGAACAAAGTATACATTTGTTTAGACAGTGGTTCTCAACCAAGTAGTCTTAGAAAACAACTGTCATTTTTATTTAAGAACCAGGATTCCCAGTCTTGGAAAACCTGGATATACAAGGGAATTTTAAAAATGTGACTTATAGACCTGGAAAAGTAATGGAAATTAATAAAATACTAAAAGGTTATGGGCATTTAATATATTTTTTTCTAGATATGTCAAGCTCTAAATTTATTTGTGAGTACCAATAATTTTAAATTATTATTTAATTTTATAATTAAAAACCCTGTAATTAAAAATTACTAGAAAAATCATGGAAATAAATTAGTGTAAAAGTGTAAACCGTGGACGCCTTGGAGTCAAGAATGTTGAGAACGACTGGTTTAGGAGACACAGAAGGTCATATTTAGTGGACACAGCTGTATGGAAGCTGCGGTCTTACAGATACAGACACAGTCACTTGAGAAGAACCAACAATGTCACTAGAGGACACACTGTAGTTCCAGTGTTTTTTTCCCCTCCTTTATGGTCCACAAATCAATACATCCAACTTTTATGCCAACTGATGACATTCCTATCTACTTGGGTCCATAATGAGCCAGTCATGCATTATTCAAGAGTGCCTGACATTATTTAACAGTAGCATTATGAGTTTAAAATATGTAAAGAAAATCAACTTGACCAAACAACCCAAAATCTGGTTTATGAAGTCAAAGCATCAAAAACGGCACATAATAACACAGTGGCGTAAATTACGTCTTGATTGTGCCAAGATACTATCAATAACACATAAAACATCCAAGTGCACTGTTTATCATATTACTAAATCTCATGAAATAGAAAGTGTATGGCATAACAGCGATTTTGACTGAATAACACTGAATTTAGTAAGCCAGCTGTGTATAGAAACCTGCGCTACCTGACCATGGCGATACTCACATATTTGGCGACACTGGTGCTCCTCGCTCGCCCACTCAAGGCCGAGAAGATCCGCTAATGCATGGACCACGCTAACAGGGGAGCATGTTCGAGATTAGTGTTTTAACAAAAATTGTGGTTTACCCGACTATTGCACGAGGGCTTGTGAAATGCTGCATTTTTGTACGGTGGCAGCTCCTCCCTTCACTGGAGAAACTGCTAGCCACGCCTCCTTTCACTAGAGGCGCAACCGGATCACGATCCGAAATGGAAACCAGTTCTAGAAAATTAGTCGTTGGATTGCTAGGCGTTGCCTGGGAGACTGAAACTTGAGGTCTTTTATTTGGGGGAGCTTGGAGGCTCAGAGAGCCCATTGTCCGTATTCAAATCTCAGGTTGATTTTATTCTATTGGATATATTTTGTAGTATTAAAAAAACATAATAATTTAAACTTGTTACTTAATGAGAATTTGAATCTGGTACACAAATGAATGTCAGCGCGATCGCGTCTTGTAAAATGACTTTTATTAAATATAGACCTTCCAGTAATCACAAACGAATGTGATTGGTTCGTCTCCCCAGCGCAGAGAAAAGTACCCTCGTGATATCGTTGTCTACCTGGCACTTCTGGACACTGAGAAACTTTAATAGTGATTGTTTTCAAAAAGACAAAAAAAAAAAACTTGAAAAGTGATTGTAGGGAACTATTATTAAGTTATCGATTATTGTTGTTTGCCATTCAAGCTCATTTTTTCTATGTATTAAATTGACTGAGCAAGTAAAATTGTGATTTGAGGCGTTGATAATGCTTTGCTCTATTTTGGTGAAACCTACACAGAGCCAGAAGTGTCTTTCAAAAAATCGCTCTTCAATTCCTTGCAGTATGATTTTTAATCCCAAACATACATACAAGTAATATTAATATAATAAAATAGATATACATAAATAAAGGGGTTGAGTACTATTTAATCCATTACTTATTTATAAATGATGGTAATAATTGTGCGTTCGCCTATACACTTCAGTTTGAATAGATAGATAGATAGATAGATAGATAAATAGATAGATAGATAATATATATATAGTTTTTGTTAGTTTTTTTAGCAAAAAAGTACATTTTAGCACGGACTTTTATTGCGTGGTATGGCTGAAACTGTAAGCGTCCCTTAAAATTTGCACAAAAGAACATGTGGGTTGCCAAGGTGCAAACCATGTTGTTAAAAAACTATATTGTTTGACAAAACCTTACAGATCATTTTATTTAATTTTATTTCAAATTGTAATTTTATTATATATTTATATTTTACATTATCGGCAAGAACAACTCATACAAAATAACTCTGGTTAATGATTCTTGTTGCATATATCACTGGCACAAATACAGAACCAGTATAAACAGGTGTTTTTTTTTTTGTTTTGTTTTGTTATGTTTTGTGTTGTTGTTGTTGGTTTTTTTCCCCTGTCCATAAACACAAATTGTGTATTTACGTCTTTATCTGGCACCAAAATTATTTACTCGTTTTATGGTTTTAACCCAGGAAAATTATTTTATGCGGACAACCTGGCAACCCATACACTCCAGTTCCCTGTTGGTGTGAGGTGGTACAATGAAGGAACGATGGCTGCCTGCATCAGAGTAATATGGATGAGAATGACCACCTTGACAGCCGCTATTCATAATGGGTCTGCTCTCCTGAACGCTTTCTTTGCCAAAACACACTAATTTCCCTGTTTCGTCCCATCTGTAGAGACCAAGTGTTGTGTTTGCATCAGTCTGCTTGCTAGCTCCGCGCTATGTTTCTACCCACATCAACTCTCTTTAATTGACCTGACCGGTGAGTAGCTAACGTTAGATGGATATTCACCGTTTCATAACGCAAATACGCATACAAGCTCTGTGAATGTAAATTAAAGCGAAGTAAGCTCATTAGGCAACCTAGATGTTTAGTTAGCTGGCTTTGCTTGTACTTAGCTAACATTAGCAATTGCTATTGTTAGTACATTTGCTTCCTTGATTGTTGCTGGTAAAGGTCAATATGGCAAACTGGGTGAAGCAAAAAACTATTATATAAATGTATGGATCATATTAAACCTAAGAACAGGACATTTGCAAATTATGCAAATAACATTAGTGTCCAAGGACTTTGCATGGATTCCTTCAGTACCTTCAAATAATCTACATGTCTGAATTGCTGACGTAGCTTGTCTTAATTTTTTTTTAGGTTTGATCTGTTTCTATTTTGAAATTATGAATTAATGCACACCCTTTTCCCCTCTATTCTTTCTCTCTTTAGATATCACTCATAACATGGCCATCACACAGTTTCGCCTTTTTAAAATATGCACCTGCTTGGCATCTATTCTGTCATTCTTGAAAAGACTGATTTGTAGGTGAGTACAAAACTCTTTTGTTCAATTTCGTGCATATTCATTTTGTAGATTGTCAGTCTGAAGTCTGTTGACATAGGTGGATCCGGAGATGAATTTGTGTCCCTTACAGATGTGATGCTGAGTTTCGTCTGTTGTCTTTTGTTAATGTAGGGCTGGAAGGTCACGCAAGCTAAGCGGGGATCAGATCACCCTTCCGACCACAGTTGATTATTCCTCTGCATCAAAACAGGTTAGAGAATGCATCGTGCTGGAGACTCTGTCATGAATATTTGCCATGGTGATTGGTTGAGAAATGGGTCATAAGAAAAATATTTTGCATAGAGAAAGTAAACTTTTTAGGGCAATTTCATATAATGCTTTTTCAAAATAAAAATATATTGTTACACAGCATTATGTTTTAAATAAATTCTGTTCCTTTGAACTTATTATTTATCAAAGAATACTGACAAAATGATGTATTACAGCTTCCACAAAAATAGTAAGAAATAATAAGAAATGTTTTTTTTTTTATGAGCAACAGGATCATGTGACTGAAGACTGGAGTAATGGCTGATGAAAATTTAGTTTTGCCATCACAGGAATAAATTACAGTTTAAATTATATTAACAATTTCAGAATCGTACTGTGTTTTTTAAAACTTTTTGATAAAAATACTTTGGAATCATAAGAGACTTCTTTCAAACATATTACAAAATGGTCTTTAAAATAATGTCCTGGCCTTAATAGTGGCAAAAAAAAATCTTTATACAGTTTTGATCTTTTTGTTTTTATTTTAGGAGAAGATATGTTTCTTGACAGATTTTGTGAGGTTCACCTTATTACGAATTTTAGAAATGATATGCTTTTATATTATTTATATTATACTTACTAGGTTTAAGAATAGATATGAACATTTGCATCAAAAGCCGCATTTTTCATTGATACTGTTGTAAGTCACAATTTCATACGGTATGTAGATTAAGTATTCCTCGCAGTATGAAATGAAAGAGCTTTTCGAAACCAAGCATGTCCGAATGATTAAATTGTCATGGAGGTCCTTTACAAAATAAAAAGCCATGCATTTTTATGCATCTATGAGAATTACAAAAATAAAGCACTGTCACTTAGAATGAAACTGGACAGATGACTGTTAACTACTAATGACCTTTGCTTGATGAAATGAGTGAATGTTTGTTTTATAATTGAATTCAGTCGGAGATTGAGGAGTGGAGCTCATGGGATGAGGAAGCTCCCACCAGTATCAGAATTGAAGGTGGTAACGGGATAGTTCCACCTCCACAGAATGAAGCTGAAGAAGAAGAGCCAGACTACTTCAAAGACATGGCTCCCACCATCAGGAAAACACAAAAGGTAGGTTCATTATTTGGGGGTTACATCGGCTGCCTGTTCATTGTCATTTATTTCTTTCTCTCTATCTTCTGTCCTAGTTTTTAATAATTTTTATTCTGTCCTATAGTTTTTATGTTTTTACATCATAGTAACTCTTCTTCTCTTGCTTTCTCTCTTAAAAACATAACCTTTTTTGCAATTTATTTCGTTAGTTAGGGCAAGTGGAAATGAAAAATGGACAAATATTGTTAAAGCAGTGCAGTGGTAGTGCTGACCTTCTCAGTCCCATTTTTGTGTAATATGCAATATCATTCAAACGTTTGGAGTCAGTAAAATTTTTATTTAGCAGGGCTGCAATAAATTGATCAAAAGTGATAAGAAAGACATTTTTTGTTTTACTTTAAAGGCACAATATGTAAGATTTTTTTATTAAAATATCCAAAAACCACTAGAACAGTGTTATATATTTTGCTGACTTGTGTACTTACATTATCCCAAATGTTTCGAAGAATGTTTAAATCCAGAGAAATAAGCAATTTTAACTAGTGACACGGAGCGTGTCCATAGTGTCATTGTGTCGCCTGCCAATGACGTCATAACCTCTCGATTTCCAGTTTTATTTTGTAGAAAACATGGAAACACCAAAGACGCTTTAATATGTTGTGCGTTTTATTAGATGGGTGACGACTGCACAGAGTAGCATTATAACAGAATGTTCAAATGTATCTAGTATGATAAAACAGCGCTGCTTCCTTCCGCTACTTTCAGGAAGGAGCGGAAGCAGTCGACTGTGGCATAATAACAGCTCCGCTGCTTTCGAGCCATGTGTCGCGCTCTTTCAGCGGCCTTGTCTCGCTTCAACGGCTTTCCGCCTCACTCTGCTTCATACTACGACGTTAATAAATCTTTAATACATTAGCTCATCCATGAACATGATTTCTGCCCGAGTCCCATCGAATTGCTTCAGCTGTGGGGATGAAGACGACAACTCCCATGATTCCACACTCAGTCACGGCGTCATCTAACTACGCCTTTGTTTCTTTGTTTGTTTTGAATACGCGCCCTCTAGTGGCAAACATTACATATTGTGCCTTTAATTTCTATTTCAAATAAATCTGTTCTTTTGAAATTTCTATTCAGCAAAGAAGCCTGAAAAAATGTCTCACAGTTTTCAACATTAATAATAAGAAGAAGAATTTCTTGAGCACCAAATCAGCATATTAGGATGATTTCTGAAGGATTTCTAAAATAATAATTTCATTTGCAATTTGTGCTCTTTTTCCAGATTGTCTTGAAGAAAAGGGACCCTCTGAATTTCTCTATGCCAGACAGCTCCTCAGGTTTCTCCAGCCGACTAGCTGCCACTCAGGACATGTCCTTCATCCAGCCCTCTGTGAGTGATACAGTCTAACAATGATAATCACAGTTATTGGGAGGCCAATTAACACTTTCAACAAAAAATGATTTATTGGGAGTCCTCCATCTCCACCAAATCACATCTTTAATATGTTGGATCAAATAGTATGATGATAAGAAAACACAATGTCTCTGTGTGCTGCAGGCAGAGCTGGGGGACCTTGACACCTGGCAGGAGGACACCAATGCCTGGGAGGATGAGGCAGATGCAGCCTGGGAGGCAGAGGAAGTGCTGAGGTAAGCTACCTTACCAGCTGACTATGAGGTGATCCTGTACAACATAAAAATGTTTCTGGTTCTGTTTGTTTCCGTTGATATCTGCAATATTAAATCACTTAAGTCACTTAAGTTTTTTTAATTAATACAGGGTCAACTCATTTTGAGGGAGAATGTGGTGGGTTTCTAATTTTGTCCACTAGGTGTCAGTGTACAAGCACAGTTGTTTTCAACCTCCACTGCATTGTGCCAGATCTTGATTAAAGGGATAGTTGACCAAAAAATGAAAATTCTGTCATAATTTACTCACCCTTATGTCATTCCAAACCTGTGTGCATTTCTTTCTTCTGTGGTACATCAAAGACGATATTTTGAAGAATGTTGATAACAGTTTCAGTTCCCATTGACTACCATTGTGTGGATAAAAAGTACAGTGGAAGTACTGGGAACCGGAAATGCTTGGTTTCTGGTCACTTCAGGTTTGGAATGACAAGAAGGTGAATAAATGATGACAGAATTTTCATTTTTGGGTTTACTTTGATCTATCATATAGCATCATATTTGAAAGGGTATGATTTTTGGGTATATTTACAGACTGCATACAATAAAGCAGATTACTGATTTAAATTAAAAATATCTCTTAAAACTTGCCATAAATGCGATGAAATTGATCTTTCTTTGTCTATCGTGAACACAGGCAGCAGAAGCTGGCTGAGAGAGAGAGACGTGCCATAGAGCAACAGAGGAAGAAAATGGAGAAAGAGGCACAGAGAATGATGAAAAAAGAACAGAAGATTGCTGTCAAACTTTCATAACATTAATACAGTGCACCGGACACTCAAAGCAACAGCCAAACAACTGTTCATATTACATTTTACCTGGTTTTGTCCTGCCCCCACCATACTACTGTCTTCACCTCTTTGGGATATTTTTTAGTCCATCAGCCATATTAGGGATTTTTTATGTTTATTTCTTTGGGTTTTCGTTTTGTATTGGACTGAACACAGCACAAAGAATCTTCCCTTTTGTTTTTGAGGTATTGTGACTGTTCTTACTGTGCGCTTGATGAAAGAAAAAATATGTTTGTTTTTTTCTGTCAGTATTTATAACACTTGAATGATTTGTCCAGAACAACTTTTTTTTTTTTTTTTTTTTTTTTTTTTCCTTTGTAGTTATATTTTCATGTTTGCTGATTAACTTAACTTTTTTTTTTTTTTTTTTTTTAGAGAATTCTGAAGTGTTTTACTTTTACAGTAACTTTCTGGTAGCATAACCTGATAATCATGGGCTTAATTGTGAATAATCCTTCAAGACCTTATATTTTAATCTTGATTTTTCCAAAGACAAAAATTTGAGTCAAGGAATTAATAATTGTCCGTGTGAATGGAGAGCAGAGATATTCAGTATGTACTGACACTCAAAGAAAGGCTTTTAAGAGATGTGGGTTGGTCGTCATGGAAACCTTGACATTTTTTAAATATCCAAATTGGCAACCAAACCATCTTTTATCTTTAGTAAGACTGTTTACTGAGAAGAGCATTGACTAAGAGAAAAACATTCACAATTTATTTTAAAGCAATTTCACCAGGGGAACGATAAGAATTTCTTATCTCTTGAATATAAATTGATCATGTTTATTGATAAAATGAGGATCATGGTGGTGCTGAAATTAACTTATGCATGCTGTGATTATTAAGGAACATGAAGCCATGAGAGCCACAGGTACAGATAATGAAAAACGTAATAAAATCACACCTTTTGCTTTGATTTATGTTTCCCGCTCATGCCTTTTTAAGTTGTTTTTACCATTTTTCACAGTGCATCCTTAGCTGTAATAAACATTTCAGTTATCTGTTCAATGGTTTATTTTATTCAAAGGCTTTCAGAATCTTCTGTCATTTCTTCACCGAAAACAGCCATGGTAAAGATGACGTCTTTGGGTCTCTGAACATAATCAGCAATACAAGATTTATTCGATCTGTCTGTACCCAGACTGTTAAGAAGTTCAATCAGCATCATAGAGCTGTCTCTGGAATACATGTGCTTTTATTTGGGATATTCAAGGTCAGACGCATTGTCCAGACCAGTGGAATATTCCAGCTCTGAGAATGTGATGTCATAATCCCCATCTGCCTCAGCAACGCCCCCCCAGTCGACCAACCCTCCCACAGCTTGACCCACTTAGAGAGAGAGAGAGGAAAACAAACCATGACTGAATTAAACATTACATGCTGTCTTCTGCAGCTATGCGCATCTTTATCACACCTGACTTTATGGGTTTCACATGAGTTTGTCTCTGTAATGAAGATTCTTGGACCATGTTCATTAAATAAAATGTATATGTTCATTAAATAAAGTGTATATAAACACTGCTCAAAGATTTTATGCACCAAAAATACGTTGAGGGAAAAATGCCTCAACAATATCATATTAACACTTTTACAATACATAGTCTGGAACAAAGCTAAAAGCTAACTAGTGTCCAACTGGGCTAACAGTACATAACAGCAAGCATTTGCTCAGTCTTGCCATTTCATGCATGCAGGGTTGTATGTTATGCAATAGTCAAGTCCCATCTGGTAACAGATGTACTGTGTGTTTTTCAGGCGGCCCAGGGGTCCACACTTGCTGTGTAATGGTTGCTTTAGTCTCAGCTGCTGAATATAGCAGTTGATGTTCATACACTCCATATATTTTGTATGATATAAAATGTTTTTGGGTTCTTGTGCGTGTGTGTGTTTGGGTACCCAGCAGGTCCATTAATGAAGCATTAATGCACTTTCGGCTGTTGCTGCCTACAGGATTTCTCTTAAAACATATTGAAGTTTAAAACCTCTTTGTTTTGTCAGTTACGAGCACTTTTATGTCTTAGAGCAGGAGTGTCAAACTCAGTTCCCGGAGGGCCGCAGCCCTGCAGAGTTTAGTTCCAACCCTACTCTAAGCACACATTGCATGTAGTTTTCAAATATGCCTGAAGGGACTTGATTAGCTGGATCAGGTGTGTTTAATTAGGGTTGATAAACTCTGCAGGGTCCTCCAGGAACTGCGTTTGACACCCCTTTCTTAGGGTCATTTTTTATTTGGTCATAACTTTATTTATCTATGTATTTATTATATGAAGGTCACATAACCACTGTAGTGTAAACGTCTTACCCTGATTATTTTTTTTTTGTTGCTACTTTTCAAATCTTTTTTTTTTTTTTTTTACCTTAACAGACTTTAAATATTAAAATCCATCATGGAAAACTTTAAAATAAGAAGGTGAAATATCACTTGTTTTCACACTTGAAATATTCTAAACCCCGGGTGAATAAAATTTTGGGTTATCTTGCTTCACGTGTGTTTTACACTGCTCATAATTCACCAGGGTTTAAAAATAATCATAAATTGACGTTTCAGTTAAACGGTTTCACACTGTACATTCCTAATCCCTGACAATGGGTTATCGATCTTATTCGCATATTTGTGCTGTCAGTGTCATTGATTGGACGAACGCTCGAAACCTGTTCACATAAAGCATTATATTAGCATTATAGCATTGTATTATATATTACCGATTGTACTATCAGCTTTTTCCTGAATGGACTTTTCTGAATATAAAGTAATAATGAAATGGTGACGCGTGTTTCTGTGTCACAGCAAGTGAAAGACACGCGATTGGGTGTCCGTTGCATCTATCCGTAACATTAAACCTTTTCGTTCACCTTCCATAATGAGTTCATGAAGATTTATTTACATTTATTTAAATATTTTGCATTGTCTGCACTAATTTAAGGGGCAAATCTGCAGTATCCTTACAAAAAAATACTGTTCTCCTTTTGTTAGTTGAAAGCATTATCAATTTACCAGAATGTTTAATAGGCAAACACGCAAATGGTGGAGGATTTGTATCACTTTGTAAATGTCTTTCATTCAGATTCTTTAGAGCTTTTTGTGGGCACTGATTTAGTGTGGGCCTAGACAAGTAATTCAAGTGTAGAAATTATGCAATACCTTCCCCATGCTCTAACACACAATAAAAGTCCAAACTTGGAGGGGTTTTCCATGCTTTAATAATAATAAATATAATGATATACATCTGATATAAACAAAAATATTGCACATAGGTCAGGCACATAACAAGTGTTCGCTGTACTGTGGCAAGTGCTGCCATTCAGGAAAATGTTAGTTTACAGAGCAACATGTAAAAGCTCTAACTCCAGGGAGAGAAATACAGTTTCACTTAACAAAACGCTGAACACATGTAAGCTTTGGCAGAAGGTTTTAGTTCTTTTGGAACACGTGACATTTTAACTACAACAAAAATGATGGCCAACTGACAGTCAACCCCTATTGTCACACTAAATGACTCTTTTATAAAAAGCAGGGAATAGCAGTCAGCAAAGAACAAGACTCGAGCAACATAATCACCTACCCAGATGATCAGATTATGCAAAAATATTTATATATACAAACATAAAAGCAATAAATAACAAAAAAAGACAAATCAAGTCCATTTATATCCCCTTAAATTCATCCTTTGTGCCTCAGATTGCAAAAATAGACAGTGCAAAGTAGGAATGTCGCAACTAAACATTAAATTAGTGTATGCGTATAATCACAGGTGTACAAAAACACAATTTCTACTTGAAGATGGCGTTTAAGTGCTCTTGTTGTAACTGTGGGTGAGGGCCACTAAGTGCCTGGCCCGTGAGAGACATGGCGGAGTGAGTGCAATCCCATAATGCAACAGCCTCGAATTAAAGCTGCAATGTTGTACACGGGAGCCCCTCCGACCAAACCGTGCTGCGAGTAGAGCCACACCACGGTGGGCAGAACAGGTGCTGCCACAGCAACCAGATCAACCAAGAAGTTGTTGCTCCAGTAGCTTTTTCCCACCACCGCCATACTAGAGGTGTTCTTGGGATTCTTCAGGTCGAAATTCAGCTCTTCCATGAACTGGGGACTCATTTGGGGCTCGGAAAAGCCCAGACCGGAATCACTAACAGTGTTTTGGGCAGTATTGGTGCAAATGAGGCCAACATCTTTGACTTCATCGTCTTGTGCTTCAGGAAAATTCCCCTTATTTATGGGTTTTTGTGCTTCAGGCAAGTCCTCGACCTTTTTGGGAACCTGTGCTGAAGGTGATTCCTGGGATTGGTGGGGTGAAGAAATAAGAAGGCCAGGGAAGCCACCACCTTGGAGCTTTAGCAGCTGGAAAAGAAGGGCTTGGAGATCAGTGGTGTAAATCATCTCATCAGTCTGGACACTTTTATCTTCTGCACCAAAGGGGTTGGTTGAGATATGTCCCTCAGTGCTCTTTTCCGAGACACTCGGCTCCAAGATGGACAGTCCTGGTTGGGGAATGATCTTGGTGCCACCATCCTGGCTGGAATCAACTGCAGTGGACATGAGAACCTGCTCCAGAATCCCTGCTCTGTTGGCCATCTCATCATTGGCCAGCAGCTCGCTATCAGCCATCTCCTCCACTGCTTGTTCTTCACCATGTAGCTCCATCTCCAACTTGCCTGCAGCGGATCTTTCTAGAGAATCACAGATAAACTCCAGCGTTGGCTCATCCTGCAAGTTGCAGCCATTCTGCGCCAACTCCATGCTGTGGAGCAAGGACTCCAGCTTTCGGTTTTGGATGTTTATGTCAATGAAATACTTCTGGATGCCCTTGTCCTTCTCCATGAGGCTGATCTTCATGGTTTCCACCACTTGCCGCAGCTGCTTAATCTCTTTGCGTGCTTCTTTAAGAGCTAGCTGAGCTTCCACACGGTGACATTCCTCCTCTATCCAGTCCTCCCGCATACGCCCCAGTTGGGACTTCAGCTCCTCAATCTCAGCCTCCCTGCAACCCATCAATGTGGAAAATGTACTATGTGATATCAATTTTCAAATTGTGTCAGAGCTCTCGAGGGAACAGCAATTCAGTAATGCATTAGGGCAAGTATTTCAAAGCAGACTCTTACCGGTCACAAACTGTGTTCTGTGAGTCTCTGAGTTTTGTCTTGAGGTGTCGTATGGCTACCTCTTTCTGCTGTAGAGGGGTGAGGTACTGCTCTGGATTGGGAGGCTTGATGCCATGATTGTCTCCGCAGGAATGGTAGCGTACAGGAGTGGTTCTTCTGAAAGTAAAAAGCAAGTTTACCTCTTTAAATCTGATGAAGCATGCCAATATTTAAGCTACAAAAAGAGCTGCAGTAATAAACTCTATGGGCCTGTTGTGTCTGTAACAAGTTACGGTTTCCATCCAAATGCAAAAGCTTCACTAAAAGCTAAAAAAAAAAACTCATATTATACAAGTCACTATAATAATAAAATGCAACCAACCACACAATAGGGTAGCAAGGTAAATATTAATGTAATATTAATATTTAAAGAACATAATGAACTAAAGTGCAAAAAAGACAAATAGAAAAGGAAAGTACAAATATATTAAAGTACAAGAGAAAGGAAGAAAAATAAATTATGAAAGAAAAAAAACATCAAAGCAATGGCCCTGTTACCAGGCAGTAAAACAAGAGGCACAATATCCTAGCAACCTGCTATGCTGCTTTAAAGTCAAATTTGCATCTGTGCCAGAGATGGAACAATGGAAGAACAAACAAGGACCCTGGAGAAGCTCAGACAGGCATTACAGAGCACACACATTCTGTGCTTAGATTTTTTTTTTTTAAATGGAGCAACATGGCAAAATGGAGATTGTGGGTAAAAAAAAAGAAAAGAAAAAGGAAACTACATATACCAGAATAAACCAGAAACACTCATTTCGAACATGTCAACAAGAATACCCACTAGTTTCCTTATCCTCCATCCCATAAAAATACCACATCATGCTATTAACAAGCCAAATGGCACACCTTAAATATCTTCAAACATACTGACTGTGTGCACATGAAATATTAATGCCCCCCTCACTCTCTCTCTACAAAAACGTAGCACTGAAAAACACTTTTCAGTGTTTCACGCTAACGGATTTGCTGTCTGTGTGGGCAAAAATGAGAGCAGACAATTTTGTCAAAATCCCCTCAAAGCCTGGCACAGCCAAACCATGACCAATCTAATCCTTTATTCTGTGAAGAGGTTGAGGACACGATAACACTGTCTCCTGAGCCCTACATTGAATATATTGCATCTACCATGTACTCAACTTCTTTCCATCTGTTTGTTTCTGCCTCTTTGTCCATACCTTCTGGTAGAGCTGGAGTTGCTACTGCTGTTGGTAATGGAGGGGGCTTTTTGGGGTGTCCTGTATGGGGCAAAAAGCTCTGCATCACGAGGGGCAGTAGGGCTTCCTGCGGGCTTGAACACAGGCAGGCTTCTGATCTGGGGCCCACGGCTGAGGGAGACAAGAGCAAGCAAATAGGACAGGACAGTGTCATAAAAGGCAAGACACTCAGGCTATGTTCAGAACAACAAACTACCATGCAACTAATTCTTTCAGTATGCAGTATACATACAATATCTTGTTAACCAACTACTGTACATTTACCAAAATGTGCATATGTAATTTACTGAATTTAACATTCACATAATATCATGTGACAACAATGTTGCATACTGTATCATACTGTTTTACACACTAAAAATACAAGAAATATCAAATCTGACAGAGAATAACAAACAAAAACAAATCAACTATCTTGGATTAAGCTTCAGGAACATAAAATAAATCATAAAAACCATACCTGCGAGAAGATGAGTTCTTTCCTGCAGAGTTGCTGGGCTGAGTTTCATGTGTCTTGTAGCTTCCAGTATTGCTAGATGAGCTGAAATCTGTCTCACTGCCTATAGTGCATAAAAATGGGGATCAAAAGTCTAAAGTTTCCTCTAAAAAGACTGCAACATCAGCAAAATTTATCCAGTCAAGGGTATCTAAAAAGAAAGTGTGGAAGTAGAAACTTCAAAGCCACCAAATGCACAGCCCAAGCACGTTTCCAATTAGCATATTTCCAGTAGCCAGATCAAAGAGGCTTGTCAGAGGATATAGGGTTACAGACTTCTGTGATGAACATTGTCTGCCTCCATTATGGAAGAACTAAGGCTTGGGAAGTAAGGGAACGAATCTTTCAGTGACAGAGGAATCCTTCACATTCGGTTTCTCTCAGCACTTTTATGTAAGCTTGAATATCACCTTACCTGCAGCCATTAACTTTTTCTAGCTAGCTTTAGCACTTAGACCCTGCTAGTAGATGCTGTAACTACATCGTTTCTACTTTGACAGCCATTCAAAAGTAGCCATGTTATTCTATCTTGCAACATGTTAACTGCAAAATTATCATTAGATTTGATGTTGTTACGTTTTTTCTTCTTCTGAGGGCTCTTAAAAGCATGAGATATTCTTATATAACTATATTCCTGCTAAACTAAAGACTAAAGATATATAATACTGATTACATACTTCCTGGAAGTACCATTGAAGTTAGTGGGAAAGCAAATAGATAACCCTCTGAACTATATTAGGCATCCTTGTATCAGATCAAGACATATTTCAGATAACTGAATATTTTGGGGATGTGATCTAAAAATCTAATCTAAAAATAATCTGAATAAATGTATTAAGCATTAAATTCAAAAGGAGGTGACTGAAAGACAAAGATATGCTAAAGAGGGGGTAAGATTCATTCAGGACCTTGATTTTACTAAAAAAAAATTCAAAAATATACACACCTGAGAAGCATCTCTTTCCTTTTGACAAAACCATGATAAAGTGCGTACTTTTTCAAACGTGCTACTATCTACCTAACTAACCAAATAAATGTGACAAACTCACTAACAATTACAAAACTGTGCAAGTTGCTCAATACAAATCAAGCTCAATTGCTGTGAATTCTCACAGACGTTGGGAGGAGCCAACTGCTTTTAATTGCACTGATTGGCCATCTACAAGCCATCCAATCACTGGCCTCTATGAGAAAGGGTAATCAAGCACATGGCACCTGCTACTTCCTGGATTGTGTTGTTTCCATTTTTTTTCTGTATTCAATAAAGTCTTCAGAGAAACCCATTCAAGCAGAATCCCAAGAACATTTAAATGGATTAAACAGGCAGGTGTGACCATGACAATACATAAATTAATTACTCATCATAACCTTGTTTCAAAACAGAACTTTGGAGAACTGCATGTATTTTCGTGTTTGAACTTGCACCCCAGTGGACGTGCGCACTTGCACAAAGCTGATAAAGATCCCATGTGCAAACTGTCCTTGTATGTACAGTAGTCGTGGTTGTTTATGTAACTAACCAAACATTCTATTTCTAAACCAAACGATTCTCTACTTTTTTGAATGCAGAAAACATGCAGTTCTGTAAACATTAATTATTTGACCTGGGGCCCGTTCTTCGTACGTTGCAAACTCAGTTAGCTTGATTTGATTGTTGACGATTTGGCATGATCTTGGATTATTTGGTTCTTCAAAACTCATAGTTCTCATGAGTCAACTCAACTCAAAACTCATAGAGGAGTTGCTGTCATAGCAACAGGTCCATAAGCTTAAACCTGCTCGGGTGCAGGCTTATTTAATGTAAACAGGATTAGATCGCAACTTTTTAAGCAGAACTGATACTTAAAATCTGTCCGCTACCACCGCTACTTTATTACAAGAGTATCCTACTGATCCAGGGACAATAATCTAAAATAGTAATCATTTAAAAATTAATTTAAAGATAATATAATAATTTTGTGTAGTCTTTAATACTATAGACACAGCCAGTTTTACTCAATGAAAGATTTATACATCATAAAATTATTACTTCATAATTGTATTCGAGTCTTACACACATGCTATACAGATAATGTAGAGTCGTGCATTCATTTGAGTGGTGAAGTAAAAAATTAAAATAAAATGAAAACACATTTCATTTATCTATTATAACTTTCACGTAGTTTTGTTCGCTTGGCTGTTTCCTTATAAAAGTCCAGAAATTTGTCAAGTTTTTCGTCAGGTGTCTTTTTTAATTATATGATGTCATTACATTGTTGTCTTGCCGCCAGCCAATCACTGCATTCCTGATCGTGGTTTCGAGTATGGATACATAACCCCTTTTAAACCAACCCATGAACGCACAATTATCTCAGATAACTCAATCCAGCCATACTAATCATCAACAACAGGTGTGTTCGAAGAACCGAATTAGCCAGATCCTGATTAGCGCGATGATATCATCTTGGATGTGACATTTCATCTCGGATGTAATAAGCGACCTACGAAGAACGGGCCCCTGATGTCATAGTCATAATCTTATAAATAATACATTTATCAAAAATCATATAAATAATTTTTTTTTCTTTTCAATTATTTTGACTGATTGATGTGTTTTTGAGCGTTTGAAAGGCAATATAATAATAATAATAATAATTTATTATTGGTATTATTTTAAAATAAACTTTTTAAAATAAAAAAAATATAAAAAAATATAATATAAAAAATATAAATAGAATCAAAAAAGTTGGTAATAATTGCAGAAATAAAATTACCTTTATGCATAATGGGTGAACGCTGTTGCTTCTCTCGCTTGTGCTTCTGTGTGGGTGCACTCCACTCGGCCACTACGTTCATCCGAACTCTTGTCACCTTGACCTTGCGCTCTCCCAGAGTGGGTGAACCCAGTGGGCTGTTGTCAGAGCCTGATAGGGTCTTGGTTGGCAACACACATTGACTGCTTGGGCATCCAGTATCAGCTGAGAAAACAGAACCAAGTGGAAATTATGATTTACTACTGTGCTTTTCCTTATCAGAGAGGTCAAACGTACAAGGCCATCAACACATAAAAGCCATCACAGAGCAAATAATGACATTTCAGTGTGGATACTACATTTTATTTGAAATAAAATTCCCAAGCATCTTATCAGGATGGTGTGAAGTCATGGCAACCTCATGTGGGCTACCTGAGGACAGGCTGGGACTGATGGTTCTTTTCGAGTGCTGGGAGCTAATGTCAAAATCCTTGCTCTCCTCTTCTGACAATGGCATGTTAGGCCCCGATGACTCCTTTGCTTTAGTATGCAAGGGGTGGAGGACAAATCGAGGGATACGGCTGCGCATGCTTCCTTTTTCCTTCACCTGCAGGAAATGAAAAATCAGTAACTGGAAAAATGGAATGGTGCTACGACTGCCTTCAGACAGACTACAGTCAGCAACTGAAGTGAGTTAATCTTTTTTAAAGCTGGTATTGAGCTGAATAACGTTCCTTAAAATTATTTTAGTATCCAATATAAATCTTGCTTACATGTCTTAATGTAAGTAAAAATGTGTTTATACAGAAATGATTTAAAGATAGTTAAGCACCTCATATGTCTGAAAAGGTCCCATTCTTCTTAAATAGAGAATACTTCCAAGTTAAACTGTAAAAAAAAAGAAAGATAATAGTGTAAAAATGAATGAGGACATGATGCAAGATGCCAGGCTGGTTTAACCCAGTTTATGAATGGTTCTGACTTAAGTGCCAGGCTACAATATTTATATGCTTAAATATGAAATATATGTCTTTGCCATGAATTGTCATTAAATTTTAAATCTACCTAAAACATTTTTTTCCCAGGGTCATTTGTCTTTTATGGACAATGTAGTGCCTTATCATACTTGAGTTTCAGCCACCCACTAAATATAAATGTGTTCACTAGTACTTGGAATTAAACGGCAGGAAATCTTATCCTAAATTAAACTGATCCAGTGCTATTATTTAACATGATTCTTCTGATGATCAGTGAATTTACCAAGTGTTATGTAAAAGGCTTTGCACTTGGTTAAGGAAGTAATATGGTCAATTTAATCCTTGTCTAGGTAGAGAGATGATAAATCCCCACCCTTCTGGTTAGATTATTTAACTGTTTTGGGTGTTCCAGATCTGCTCATAACTAACAGACCAAAGCCCAACGGCTGAATAATTTAATATCATGTATCACGCTTGATTGACTATGACGTCATTGGTCCATTTCCTGTTATTAGTGGTGTATGTTGTGGTTGCGTGTGCCTTGTTTTTCAGCTTCTCTTTGAAGTTGGTTATATAAGGGTTATGGTTGTTTTCAATGTGGATGACGTAATTGACCCCTTAAGGTTGATGCGTTTTGCATAGCTGGGTGCTTGCTTCTTTCCATTTTTTTGTCTGGATGTCATGTTTCATTACAAAAGAAGTCAAAGCACAACCTTTAGCACAACCTGTAGGTCGCCCTTTCCTTTCGGATATGAAAAACATGCTACTTAATTATGAGTATCTTATGTCACCACCTCCTTTTAAATGATGCAAGTATTATGTTGTTTTCTATTTTTTTTGCTTTGTTTAAAGAAAAAAGGATTTGCTTTTGTCAGCTTCAGTGATAGAAGTACACAAAGGGAACTGAAAATGAAAATGCACATTAGCATTCAAAAGTGTGGAATCAGTAAGATGTTTTATTTTTTTTAAAGAAATCAATACTTTTATTCAGCATGGATGCATTAAATTGATCAAAAGTGAGAGTAAAGACTGTTATAATATTGCAAAAGATTTCCATTTCAAATAAATGTTCTTTTGAACTTGTCAGCCAAAGTCAGAGCCGTAGCAACAGAGCCTAGTAACAAAGACCTGGCAACACAAAGGAACATTGCCTTATAAACCAGATAGTGCTCAGTGACATTAGTCAGCCATTCAGTCCTTGATTGATGTCTTGTGTCAGGACAAGAAGCTTAGTGTTTCTACCTCAGCTAACTGAAAAGCTGAGACTAGTTTCAGCTTGACATAGTTAGAAGTTACTGATGCAATTTCTCTTAAATCACCTCATCCATCCTATGCAACTGGCATGGCTGGCCTGAGGTGATTAAACAGGAGTGCAGTCACAGAGTTAGAGGTTATTTGTTGACTCATAACACCTTATGTAATGTACTGCTCATATTTAATTAAGAAGAATGATTTCATGCATAAAACATGACAGTAAAAACTTGCTTCACCCCACACTCTCAGAATAAAAGGTACAGAGTTGTCTCTGGGGTAGTACTCTAAGGTACAAAAGCTAAAAGGTATATCTTTGTACCTTATTTACCACTAAAAGATACATATTAGTCTTGAAGGTATGAATGAATACTAGTTTTGTACCTTTTTTTCTGAGAGCGTACATACTATATGTTCTTAAGGCCTTTTTTTAAATACTGTAAATTTCCATTATAATCAACAATTTGAACAACTTTTAGGTCTTTTTAGTTCTGATATATAGTTATATAACTAAGGTTGTCTTCTTCTGTCCAAATATGAAGTCAACACAACACATCTAGAGACACTTTAAATCAGTTGCCTCAGCACCAGTGACTCCTCATTCTGTCGTTAGTCCACTAAAGCAGTGATGACTCAATGTTACTGGAGACAGAGAGTAATGTGCACAAATGCATTTGCTACTGGCTTTGAGTGCTTTCTCTGCTTGCTGGTTGACTACAGAAAAAGATGGCTAAATTCAGGCTGACATCGTACAAGTCAGTGTGCATGATTACAAATTTGAGCAATTCCTTTTCTCAATTCACTTTTCTTTTAACAGTCTATATTGTAAAGCATTCCATACATTTTTAACTGACTAGGGTGTTTATTATTATTTTATTCGTTTTATTATTTATTCCATTTCCAGTGAGAATTTAGTGCACCTGCTCTGGGAAGACATGAGAAGACATGTTGCCCCACAATTTTTTGGTCTTATTTAACTGATTATCTGTTTCATTGTCATTGAAGAGTTAAAATATGCCACTTTTTCATTTTAAAACCACTTTTTTTTTTCCAGTAGTCAGGTAAATCTCATAACACGACTCAAAATTGGACTCAAATACTTTTTTTATACAGTTTTTACTGTTATTTTTTTTTTTGCATTTTACTATTGGTCATTTTATGCTCTTATTCTCAAAATGAATTCTTATTCAATTCTTGACACTGTAATACAGTAATTTCTGTACTGTATTACAGTATAAAATGCTAAAATGTTTTTTTTTTCAGCACCAGTGACTCCTCATTCTGTCGTTAGTCCACTAAAGCAGTGATGACTCAATGTTACTGGAGACAGAGAGTAATGTGCACAAATGCATTTGCTACTGGCTTTGAGTGCTTTCTCTGCTTGCTGGTTGACTACAGAAAAAGATGGCTAAATTCAGGCTGACATCATACAAGTCAGTGTGCATGATTACAAATTTGAGCAATTCCTTTTCTCAATTCACTTTTCTTTTAACAGTCTATATTGTAAAGCATTCCATACATTTTTAACTGACTAGGGTGTTTATTATTATTTTATTCGTTTTATTATTTATTCCATTTCCAGTGAGAATTTAGTGCACCTGCTCTGGGAAGACATGAGAAGACATGTTGCCCCACAATTTTTTGGTCTTATTTAACTGATTATCTGTTTCATTGTAATTGAAGAGTTAAAATATGCCACTTTTTCATTTTAAAACCACTTTTTTTTTTTCCAGTAGTCAGGTAAATCTCATAACACGACTCAAAATTGGACTCAAATACTTTTTTTATACAGTTTTTACTGTTATTTTTTTTTTTGCATTTTACTATTGGTCATTTTATGCTCTTATTCTCAAAATGAATTCTTATTCAATTCTTGACACTGTAATACAGTAATTTCTGTACTGTATTACAGTATAAAATGCTAAAATTTTTTTTTTTTACTTAAATCAGTATTAATTAAAGGCAGTACAATATATAATTTAAATATAATAAATGAAAATTTGATATTTTTATATTGTATAACTACAAAACGAAACTTTTTTAAAAGCATATTGCGTTCTGTAAATATTCTGTCAAAACTAGACTTATAAAACACAATTTTTCCTACGAAGGGCAGATGTTTTCTAATATTTCAACTTGTAATAAAAATCTTAATTATAAAACAAAGTTGATTGACATTACCTGATTGACAGACGTTTAGCTGCTGACAAGTATCTCTGAAATGTCAAATGACGCTTCTGCCCCACCTAAACGACTTTCCAAAAAAAAACCACAACCTCACATTCATTTAAACTGCATTATAACTATAATTTACTTTTGTTTCTAATTGTTTCTTCAAATGGAACATTCATCTTAAACAATTCATTAACAGCTATGCGTAATTCAAGTTTAGAGCAAACGTGTTGAATAGAGGCTATACAAAGAACTTGAATAGAGGCTATACAAAGAACATGTCGTATTCGATTTAAAACTAGCCTATATCTACTAATATTAGAATGCATAACATTTTTCCCGTTAATAAATGTGCGTTAATAAAACCCGCTATGGTAAACAACTGTGTGACGCAGTAATTAAATAGACTTGCCTCGTGATGGGCTGGATGGAGTCCTGTGAGGGAGAGTGAAGGATGCGCTCCTCCGTATCTCTTTAAAAACAACACACTGCGCGCTCTCGGTCCTCAGCTCTGGTTTGATCTGATGTGATGGACTCTCAGCCTCTCGTCTGCGAGAGAAGCCTGATTATTCCACACAGCACATCTCAGAGCATCAGTGTACGTGCTCATGCAGAAGAGGCTGTGGACATTGACATCGCAAGGACTACGTAAATCTGACTAATGTTCCAAGTGTGTTATGTAACGAGCAGCAAGAATTAACCCTTACATGGCAGAATGAGATTTAACATTTCGGATTTATTGACTTGGTTCATGCTATGTACTGATGACACTAACTAGTCACACCTTAGGATTTCATCAAAAGTGATTTATAGAGCCTTGTTTTAATGTCGTACACAGTATTAATGGTTAATGGGATTTGACCTACACTCTTAAATATAAAGTTTCTTTATTGGCATAGATGGTTCCTTGAAGAACCTTTAACATCCATGGAACCTTTCCATTGCACAAAAAGTTCTTTATAGTGGAAAAGGTTCTTAGCTTATTAAAATGTTCGTCACATTAAGAAAAAAAGGATTCTTTTAAGAACCCAAAATGGTTCTTCTGTGGCATCACTGGGGGGGGCTCTCTAGTACCGAACTTGCCTACCCCTGGTCTGGGTTAAGATGTTTATTTTCTGCAGGGTTCATGGAGCAGCACTGCTGACGGTAAAGACTGAGAGCAGCGAGTGGAGGCGTCAGCTCTCCATGGTGCTGAAGTCAACTTTCCAAACGAGCGTTAAGTCATTGCGAGTGGAAGTCATTCTCCACATAAGATTCTCAGTGTTAACTCAAGCCGATACAGTATTACATCCAAATTAGGTCAGAAGATTGATTAAACCGATTTTTATACAAAAGAGATGATTTTATTCAATCTCATTTAGTTTAATAACCTTTTCACGTTGATTAAAAAATTAAAGTCCAAGTCCAAGCAAATACGTGTGACCGACTGAATAGGCCTAGTAGTGTGTCTGCTGTTTGTTATGGGCACGCAGTTATGGGGTTTTACTGCCCTCTGATGGTAAATAATGGAACGACAATTTACGTTTACACTAAAACGTTGTGTTGGAGGACTGATGCATTTGTAGAAATGGTCTAGTAAAACATTACGTTGTGAGAAAGTAGTTTCTTTGTACAAATCTGTAAACAATTGTGTAGCCTATTTGATTTACAATTTATTAATTACGCTATTTGTTGGTTAAAACAATGTTACCAGTTATTTTCCCAACTCAACTCAACTTTAGAGCACTTTCAAAAACCACAATGGGTACCATTTACCATTTAGTTTTCCGTAATTGTCTATTTAATGACAGTCAACAATAGTATATGCAAATATAGAGAACATGACTTATAATTCACTTTCAGTGAGAAATATTCACTGGAGTAAAAAGTGTGACATATAGCCCAGGCTCCCTGTGAATTCAGGTAAACTGGGACACTTTTAGCCAATTCAGGTGAATTGGAATACTTTTTGCCAATGAGATGACTGGGGAAAAATATAATTAACCTGAATACACCCTAGTATGTGTCTGACAATTTAATTGTTGCTTGCATTGGAGTTTGTTGCGTTAGATTTGAAAATGTTATGAACTTTAAATAATATAATCCACATACATCGACTAATTGAACGTGAAATTTCCTGGGTTGTCTTACTTTAATAATTTGTCTACTTTAGCCATTTTTTTTTTTCAAAATGCAACGCTATTGCAATTGATGACCGCAAGGAGGCAGTGCAGCGCAAGATAACGGGACAGGTGAAGCTAGAGAATTAACCGAGTGTCTGCAGCCAGTTTTCGTGAGAATAGAAGTGAGACTTTTTACATGACAGTTACAATAATGTCTTTCAGCTTTAGGACTTAAACATTTACATAGACAGGACTGCCTGGAAATTAATTTGACCATACATTTCAATATAATTGTATTGCATTGAAGATTAAAACTTCCAACATGTTCAAGTATCCTACCTAATTTGGTCAGTTACACTTTACAACAATAAATTCTCACATAGCCTATTCTTGCCCTTGCAAAAAAGTCCTCCATTTCGACCTTTCATTATAATGGTCTTGACTTAATAAGCACCATTTATTTTCTACGGGACTGGTGTAGTTCTTCGCGAGATGACATGCCCTGCAGTGAGGTAGGCTACTTGTAGCAAGTGCAATAGATCTGTGAATATTTTAGTCGACCTGTTAACCTCTGTCAACGTGTTAGTCTACTTGGAAGGCCTGGCATTCTGTTGCATTGCCTGGTGCAGAGACAGAGAGAAGACTATAACCCCCCCTCCCTAGTTATTATCATTATTATATATGTGTATATATATATAAAAAAAAAAAGCTTTGTCTTTTTTCTTTTTCTCTCATTTACATTTTTCTCTCTCTCCCTCTATGTATGTGTGAGTGTGGGTAATTAATATAAAATGTATATAAAATATATAACTAATATAAATGTTAAATGTATTATTTATCTATATGAATAATATATTTTATAAATAATAGTTACTATGTATAAGCATCCTTTATAATATATTTCATAATTGAATATATATTTTATACCTTATAATTTATATTAATCATTTTAGTTAATAATAGTATTACATAAATAATCAATATTTATACATTTAATATATACACTTAGATATAAAACATATCTCGATGTTATACATTTAGTCATATTAAATTATTTTATTAAAATATCATTTATGTCATTGTTACATTAAAATAACTGTTATTGTTTTATTATTTTAAGAAAGGACTCTCATAATTATTCTTTATAATACCGTTGTTATGTATCCCTATTAGCCTATAATTAATAATAATAATAATAATAATAGTAATACATTTTAAATTCCTTCTATATAGCAAATTATTATAATGACGTACCTTAGGAGGTGTACAGAAAGTCTGGAGAAGTTCTCCAATAAATAACATGAGCGTCCGTGGAGTGGGCGTGACTCGTGAGCGAGTGTGTCTGCAGCCTTTCGCTCTCGAGTGTACGGCGCACTTCACTTGAGACACGCAACACGGATCTCGCGCTGTCCGCACTCGTGAAACAAACCCAAACCAAAACACCCGGCTTCTCTGGGAGACACGGCTCGCCTTCACTATTTTGGGGACAGTAACACCATGGATGCCTTGAGAGCAGTCGCCTTTTACACGCTCTTCATGTTCCTTTGGCGTTTACCGTATTGCCAGTCAGCTGCGCTTATATCGCAGAAAAGGAGCAAGGGTGTCAGGAGCGCGTATGATGGACAAAGGTCACCTAAATTTCTTAAAGAGATTTTCGCATCCTCTCCGGGTGCGGGTCGTCTGGATGATTTAAAGGACCCGGTTGTGCCTCACGATTACATGATCTCTATATACAGGACTTACTCCGCAGCTGAAAAACTGGGGCTCAATGCAAGTTTTTTCCGCTCTTCAAAGTCTGCAAACACCATAACCAGTTTTGTAGACAGGGGAAAAGGTTTGTTTTGTTTTGTTTTCTTAAATGCATTATCGGTCTGAATTATGTATTATGCATTTTCAAATATTTAGTAACGCACCATTCTTTTATTTTGAAATCTTTGTGATATTGTAACACAGGCTATAATTATTTTAAAATTATGTATATGCTTTAAACACAGACTTGTGAAGCAACGACTTTGTGTTAGTAAAAAAAAACAAAAAAAACCTTTGCTCTAAAAAAACATAAATAGACCTAGTTTATTGTTAGAGGGAAAATAATGATATCTTCCCCTGAAACTGGATGAATAACTTTCGAGGGTTTGTTCGTGTGCTAATGGTTTGGCGATCACTCGTCCTACTTGGGCCACAATTTAATGGTCAGCACAACCTCATATTTCGGCTAGTATAAAGTTATATTAGTTTTACATTGACCCTAAGGTAACATGCCAATAAAACACTAATTGGTGCGTTTTCTAAATGAAGGCAATAAATCATTCCCTTAACATCTTCTCGTGCAAGCAGTCCGAGCTGTTCTCACAAACCTCTTGCGAGGAAAAGCTTGTTACATACGGACATACTATAGTTTTGCAAAATAATATAATTTGCTGTTTTGTCCTGAAAGGAAATATTTTATTTGTACAATACACATAGTCTTTTTGCTTTCAAAACTTTTATTTCAGTGTTTTAGAGGAGTTTTCATTTGCATTTTCTATTTAACAATGTTATGCGTATAAGTTGCAGTGAAATTGGATTTCCTTTAAGCACAGTAATTGGGTAAACATTGTGGGGCAAACGAACGCAAAAACATGCGACAGAAAGAGGAAGGCGGCGGAAACAGTGCACTTTTCCTTTGCAGATAAACGCGTTCGCAGAAAGAACAGAAGCGCAAACTGAATGTATGAAAAAAAACTTCACTTTCCTCTCTGATTTTGATTTGATGTGTCATTGGCTATGACCCTTCACTGGACCCTCTGAGGGTTGCTTTGCATCAAACCGCTGATTGGAGTATTTGAACTGGGTGATCTAATTGAGTGTCCATGTCATAACATTTCAAACGCTGTCTATTCTCCCGTAATGAACTAGTTCAGCCAGTGGAACATCACCAAAAGAGAAGAGCAAAAACTGGAAAGGACCTTACGTCTGTTTAGGTTTGGGCAATTGTTGCTTTTTGGGCATTTTGCTGCCTTTATAGCCTTCAAATTGTGGATAGTTTAGTGCATTACGCGGGGTTACAGATCAAAATGATTTTATAAGCATCTTAAACTGCTGTAGCAATTGGTGTGTAACACTTACCATCAATACTTCATGCAAAATCAAACCGTTCCATTTGCCTGGCTGCACTACAGTGTCTTGGCTATATGCACCATGCGCGTCATTCGCTGCTGAATGTCATCAAGAATCATTTCCACTCAAGCGCCGTTCAATTATGATAAGGCAGTAATCTTTTTGTGTAACAGGAAGGAATTTCCTCCAAAACAGATAAGACATTTCCCCAAATGTTAGATCGTTATGGTTGCAAGATCAGACAAGAACAAACGGAATGTATGAAAATTACTTTTGGCTCTTGTAAGTAACTCATTAAAACGCAGATGGTGCCCCGGTAGCCACACTAAGAGAGTCTCTCTCTCTCTCTCTCTCGTCCTATAGAATCGAATTATTGGAGAAGAATGTTCATTGATTAAAAGCGAGCGACTGTGTGGCTGGGGTGATTTATGAATTTCTGTTAGTGGCCTTCA